ATAATGTATGAATGTGCCAGATCCTGACATGGTAATTTAAGTATTTATAATGTGTATGAAGCAATTCAAAAGGATCTTTAGCATTTTTGTGACCAAGTCTGTGGCAGCTTTATTATGGAGTATACTCCACTGAAAGCTAAGTCAGTCCAAGGAGAAGCATTCATCAGCTGTGTTTCTTTGATCCAGCTAATTGTTTTACTGACACCTAGAGTGCTAATTAATTGCCCAGTCTCACAAATTAGGGACTGTTGTCTTTCTTCCAAAGCTACAGACAGCCATGACACACACCCCACAGGCATTGTATTTCAGTATTTTCCCTGGTCCTTAGTCTTTACCTGCACGCTGAATGAATGTTCAACACCAAGACAACTGCAAAGCCTTGCAAAGCATGTCTCTAGGAATAAACCTGTGACTTGGGTCAGAAAATGTGCTTATTTGAGAAAGGAGAGAATGCCTATAGAAAACTAATGGTACTATAGATTGCCCATATGACATCAGTGTCATCATCTTGTCGGTGATGTTCATAGGGAACATGACCCAAACTGTTCCTGCCCTTGGACTTGCTAGGAGAAGTGACCTTTTCATTTTATCAGAATGTTAGCATGAACAGAATTTTAGGACGCATTTTTCATTCTGCGTACTGTCTTAAGGACAACACTCTACTCAGCAGTTAAGCAATAACTGACAGAAGTCAAAATACTGCTGGGGCCAAAGGATATCTTGGGTTAACTCCAACCTGATCTATAAATCAGTGTTACTGTAACTTCAGTACATCTTGTCCTCCTTTGTTTCAAGACTAAGTGCACCTCAGAAAAAAAAGAAAATCCTTAGTCTTAAGGATATTTTCTTTTTTTAGATATGAAATTTAATTAAATGATTATTTGTTAAATTATAAAATCAAAGTTAGTTTAATAATGGATAAGATGAATTATTCATTGTTAGCTTAACAATGAATAACCAAGACATCCATACCTAAAAATCCAGGCTTATGTTGTATGGTTTTTACTCAATTCTTTTTACCCTGTAATTTCTGTTCATGCCACTGGGAAGTTTTTTGTCTCTCCTCCACATATGTTTTGGGTTATCTTGGATATTTTCTTTTTCCATCATTGGCTTCTCTATTTGTGAAAACTTTTTCAAGGATTTATTCTTGATTGCTTTGATTTCCCAACTAATATTTCAGAGCTGTAATCTCCCATTTTATAGTCAGTGCTTTAACAGGGAGATTCAGAAATACATTGAAAAATATCCCCCAAATCACTGGACATCTTAGTAACTGTTCATATTGGTAGACGGTCTTGATATCTACATCCTGGTTTTGTGCCTTATTACTAAATATACAGGTGGCCTCTAGTATAAGCTCTATAAAATTATATTTCTTCCTTTTTTGTTATATCTTCTAATAAAACAGGGCACGTTATTTCTTGCCAAATAACATAAAAAGAAAAAATGTCTACATTTTCCTGGGGAAAAAAACATAACACATTGGGACATTTAGTTAGGAGTTTTGCCTATTTGGTTACTTTACATTTGAGATCTCAAAGGTCTTTATGAAGAATGTGAAGGGACATTTCAGATGTCAAACTGTGGCTGAGAAACTAATTTTAGGAAGGAGGTTTAGGAATCAGCATATTCCTATGGGAGCAACATTTTAACATACCCTGAAAAATTATTTTGTAGAATAAAAACTTACTCTTAATTTAGATTCTGTATAGTCAGGATTACAAAAGAGATAGTGTGATATTTCTCTGCTATAGCAGGTAGATCTGTGCATTGTTCCTGTCTCCTGCACTGTGCTGGGATCGCTTGCTGCTCTGTGCCTGTGCTGTACACCCTCCTGCACTGGCCTGCTGCAGCGTAACCCAGTAGGAGACCCAAACATTTGGACACCAGGGTAATACAGCTCTAGCAACACCACAGACTACAGTGTTCTGCAATACATGGGATTATTTCTGCGCTAGCTCGTGTTCTCTGTAGCACCTTTTGCTTTCTATAGGCTGTTTAGCTCTGCCACCATTGCCATTTATTGTGTGGTGCTCCTGCAAATGTTTATGATCTGCAGTCCTTCCATTAAATTGCAGCAAGTTGCACCACACCTGAGCATGTGAATTTGAACTATATATGTAACCTTTTTTTTTTTTAGTAAATATAGCCTTATAAGTGGAAAAAAAATATTAATAATGGTTCATGGCGGTTCTGCACGCAGACTTTGAATTTCGGTGTTTATATAGGCAGTGTGTGGTCAGTATAGCCAAACAGAATTACTGTTGTGACTGAAATATCATATATTATGTTGTTGGATGTAAAAGTGCCAAAGAATTGCTGAGACAAAAGCTGACATGTGGAAGGGCTACCACTAGCATTCAGATTTCAGAGTTCAGTTAAGGTTTTGTTCCATTTTTGTACTGCTTGTGCATGTAAGATAAGAGCACTGATAACATACAGAGCCTTGTTTGGAAACAGTTTATATTGTCTTTAAAGCAATGATCAGGCTGTAAGGTCCAAATCAGCCAAATTTTTTCTAGTCAGAGCAATTCAGTCTGGATGGTCTTATTTCTGCATCTGAACAAGCTGATTATTTTGCTAACTCTCTGAAGTGTGATACCTGAATTATCGGGGAAGGCTGTGACAGAAGTTTGGAACTGAGCTAAAACGATCACTGGTACTGCGTTTTCCTACAGCAGTTTTGTAAGTGTAGAGGAGACTACAGACTACCCTCCTCTGTTGTTCCCCAGTCCTTTACTGAACATTTAGCATGTTATTAAGCTGCCTTGTTCTCTGTTATTGAATTGAACACACTTTGGCATCAATATGTATTATGTGTGTCTTATGTATGTAAAGTGTGTTTAAAAGGCAGAGTTCCTCCAAGATCGTGCCTAGAGGGGATGAATCCAACTGGCTCAATACTTTTAAATCATATCTTTGTAGGAGAGGAAATTCACCCTTTGGTAAGCTTACAAAAAAGAAACATTTTAACTTTAATCACTCCTACAGCGTAAGTTTGCACGTTGTATAAGGGTAATGCAGTTTGCAGTGTGACAGTGCATTTCTGCGATGGAAAAGCAGCCCTGACAAACTCTCTATACAAATGATGCAGCTTCTTTGTAGCTACAACTCGGTAACATCTAGATATAAAAATACCACGTGAGAATAAAACCTGAGTGAAAACAAACAGGACTTCCTGTGAATCCGAGTCAGCTGCACTATCGCACCTTTCTTGGTCACTGACAATGGCCAGAATTTGTTCTGCTAGTTTGCTTTATTTCTTTGCTCAGAAATTTTTGCTTGTGTTGATGCTTCTTAAATTACCCACTTGCAACTGCAGACAGAGAAATTTGCAATGTATCTGTAGTGACCTGCCTTGACTACACAGTGATTAAAATGCTCCTGAACTCCCCACCACCTCAACTGTCCATTGGCTCTAAACACAGGAACTACCTTAATTCCTTCAGGCAATTTATGTCTTGTTGGATAGGCTTGCTCCTATAAACCGTTTGAACTTTCTATGTTATTTTCAATTCTATGAAGTAAAAAGTGTTTTTAAAAAGCTTTTGAGTTTTTTAAAGAAAAATAAACCCCACATTTTTCCAAAATAGAGAATTGACATTTTCAGTTCTCTGTTCTGCTTATCTCCTCATCTCTCTGTTTAGACAGCTGTTAATCATTGAATACACAATGCTGGAAGGGACCTCTAGAGATCATCTTGTCCAACTCCTGTTGGACTAGACCATAACATTAGAATCAGCTTTCCTTCTCCCACAAAAGTGAGCCACAATGGCAAAATGCTTCATTTCTGGCACAATACTTCCATTTCCATTAACTTAATTAATTTTTGTACTCAAAGGATAGATTACAGCTTTACAAAACTACAAAATACCAAGTACTAGCACAAACATGGAGGCCCTTTTGTTCCATACTATAATCAATTTCAGATAGGGGTCAGACCCCTCTTCTGTTAGAGGCAGTAAGATCTGTCCCCAACAGAGCTTTAGCAAGGGCTGCCCTAGTAAAGTCTGACTTATTTTCCTGTTACCTTAAGCATGGACAACTGCACTTGGCAGCCTTGAGCCTGGGTCCAAGCACATGCAAGGAGAAAACCTGCCTGTTGAAATCCTCATCAGCTTAGAAACACAGGAGCAATCGCCGCAGCTAAGGCTGAGGGAGCGGCTGCTGACAGATACAGCAAGAGCGGGGCTCAGAAGGGGCTACAAAGGGGCTGCAAAGTAAAGCTAGGGCTGCTCCTAAAACTCTCCTTGACAAGTCATTAGCTGGGCATGTTGGAGTGTCGCACGGACAGAGCTCATCATGGGGACAGGGTTAGGCTGAGGGGCTCTCAGGCCAGGGCAGTGGGGGCCAGCTCCACACTCGCCGCTGGCAAGTCTCGTCAGCAGCTCCGTTTGTTAGAGCTGTGCTAATAAGCAGTTGGTTATATTTTAGGCTGGGAAAGTCTCATCATTTGCTCAGGGAAGCCGTTCTATGACATTGACATTGCTTTTTCTGTGATGATGCTCTAAATGGTTCTAAACCCATGTTCAACAAATGTTTGCAGCAAAACTCATGTAAGTTCCTGTCATTAGATCAATTTCTCAGCATAGGCAAGACTGCTAGAGAGGTTAATTAGGAACCTCTCTTTCTAATGTAATTAGTTATTGATTAATGTTTGATAGGCTGATTTTTCAAAAAAAAAAAAGAAAAAAAGAAAGGAGAGAACATTCTGAGGAAGAGAGGAAGGATTGGTTTCTTCTGTCACATGAAAATCTCGATAACTCAGGAAATAACTCCTAGTAGAGAATTCTAGACTTCCTAACTTTTCTTTTTCCCCGTTATTCTGCTTCTGACCTGCAGTACCTATGTGAAACTGCTGACAAATGATTTTTCAGGAGGAATTGATCCAGAGTAACTGAGGAAGAGTTTTGTTTTTGAAGGTCTTGTACAGTCATGCAACTTTTACAGCCAGACAACAACAGAGGGCAATAGATCTCTATGGAGCACCACGTTCTTCAGAAAGGTTTCCATTTGATGACACTGATGGCAATTTCGGCAGCTCTTTTCACGGCCTCACAGGGATCATTCAGACACTGCTGAAATGTATCTGTATGATCTAGGAGTGTCTTGCGGCCCTCTGGTAGCTCAGCCAGCATGGTGAGGGTTTTGATTGCACTCAGACGGGCTTTGCTGGTTTCCTCAGCAACCAACTTCAGTAAAGGTGGAATGGCTTCAGCAGCTAGGGCTGAGAATCTCCCTGTAGACAAATAAACTGGCTTTAAAATGTGTCATTACATATAATCGACATGCTTTTGAATTGCTACTTTCTACTCTCTGCCCAGCTACAGCTCCGAACACCCCAGAGGGTACAGTGTGAAGACGTAGGACATGCTTTTCTTTTGAAGACCAAAGCTAGCTGCCAGCTCTTTATTTTTAAGAAAAAAGATCTTAGTTAACTTTATCTGCCTGGCACATTACTATTTGTTTGCAACAACTTATCTAAGAATATATACGAGGCACTGAATGATAGGATAAACTATTTTGGGGAAGGGGGGTTAGATGCCCTTAAGAACATCCTCCGTTCTTTTATTTTTAAAGACTTCAAACACTGAGATCTACTCCCGTGTTTTACTTGGAAGCCAGGGGGACGGCTGCAGAGGAGGACTGGAACACAACTGCCGTTATTAAGAGTCTTTTATGCCTAATTACTCATTCATCACACTGAAAATTTAGCAGTTAGTATTTTCAGTGTCATGTAAGTTACTTGGGAGGACTACAGACCTTATTAATATTCATTCCCCTCCCAGCTGTGAGAGAGAAACTGCCTCTAACCACAAAACGAGTTTCCAAGAAGTAGTGCTCCTCTGTTGAGGACTGGTGATTCAGAGTAGCTTCAGGTAGGGGGATCTCTGTGTGGTCTGGACTTGAATGGAAAATGTTCCCACTCTGGAGGGAAATGATGCAGGTGGGGTAGGTAAATAACTTCTTGACCTATTTCAGGTGAATGAAATGTGAAATATACTGTTCCCCCTAGACGCTATGGGAGAGCAACAATAGTTGCTCAGGACAGGTCTAAAGAAACGTCCTGATCTTAAAATTTCTTGAAAAGCTTTAATGCTATCAGAAACTGAGGACTTGGGGGGTGGGGTGGGGCAAAAGTTTTGTTACTAAAATGCCTTAGAATTGGATTTCTGGAAGGTATCCCAACAGAACTGCCTCTGTTTCTCACCCTGAGGTTTAACAGTAGCAAACATCAGTGCTCCTGTAGCACTAGCTTGGACTTCAGGATCTGTATCTTTCAAGAGGCTCACCAGCACAGGAATAACTTCTTCACATACCACGATTTTTCCCTCTGGATGAGCACTGTGCAGAAAAGATGGTTAAGATGCTTTCTTGAACCGTATTTGCTAACCATGGAGCTACCCGCAGCCTCTCCCCACGCCTGGACCCCTGCAGCCCTCCTTCGTTTTATGACAGCAGTGCTGACACAGCCCTCCTCTCTGTTCTCTTTGGAGTCACAATGTTCTGACTGTCAGACAGATGGCAAACACCACTACCCAGCTACAAAGAAAAGAAAGGGGATGTCTGTTTGTGCCTGGTGTCTATTAAATCTACTTGCCGATACAATACTAATGATATCATATTAACCTATGTGTGTGGGCTTGACAATTTTTTAGGCTATTCTTAGGTGATGTTTGGATTTTTTTTACTTTCTGTGATACACTGGAGATTGATGGGCAACAGAAAATAACAGGATGTAGAACTAAGTGTGCTGCTGGTACTACTGGCAATTTAGTTAGAAACCTTGTTGCTGAACCCTACACAGATTTTAAAACCTGCTAAATTAGGAGTCTGCAATTAATTCTTTATGTCAATTTTCCCTCTTTTTTTTCCAGCCTCTTTAAGGTGGGGAATATTTAACATGGGCCAGCTACTGCAGGGACCTAGAACATAGCTGATGTCCATACTCTAGCTGCATTTCTGTTTTCTTTCTACGACCCATTTTATCTATACTCTTTCTTTTCCTATAAAACCTTGCTTTGTTATAGGACATTAGGAAGTGTTTTGTGCCAACTGGTATGTAAATTACATGATCTGAAGACCTTTCTAATCTAGATCTGTTGAGCACTTTTATTATATTTTGTGATTGCAGGACAGTGGACTTAAGTTGTTCCTTTCATCCAGTGTTTGGATACACAAGTCTAATATAAAGATTGCTATTTCTGCTCCATCAGACATATGTAGCAGCCTGTGTCAGAAAACTATTTCTGTCTTTAATCACATTGAAAGTTTCCCAGGACTTTTACTTTTTTTGAGAGAGCATTTGCTCAAAACAGTAAGGAAGCTTCTCCCTACCTCCATAGTGGTCATAATTTTGTTTTCACATGATTGCTCATGCAAGGATTTTTTCTCAGCAGTGCTTTACCAGGAAAATCCTGATTTCACTGACAATACTGAAGACAAATAGAGGAGAAGGAATGACATTTGCTCATCAGCATCTGCTTTCTTGAGTGATTTGTAGCAGTTATGAATTTTAAAAGTCTTCTACTTATGTGTGCATTCAGGCTGATATTGCTTTACATGTGAAATGTGAAAGCTTCAATGTGCAGGAGAACACACTGTAAACTAATGACATTGGTTCACTCATGAAGTGAGTTATCTTGGGCTTAAGTATTATAGACAGATTTCTTTTCCTTTACCCAATTTCTAACAGAACCCAAGCTGCTTTGCTTCTGATGGCCACTGATGAGTGTGTGAGCTTTTCCTTCAGCATAGTAACGGCACCAATTGCTAGAGCTTCAGAAGCATCCACACGCAGAGAGTTGGAGAGTGTATCAAGGATTAGCTCCTGGATTTCATCTGACTCAGTCTTCAATTTGAATACAAGTAAGGGAATCAAACCCGCATGCAGTATGTCAACAGCCCCTACAGGAGGAGACAGAGAAGGAACATGGGTGAGGAGGGGTGAGTGTGTTTACTATTTCTACCTGTACTTTGAATTTCTTCATAGGATCAAAATACATATGGTAACTCATTTCCTTACACAGATGTGGTATTGAGAGATGGAAACTACTACAACACTGCTCTGTTGATAAATGTCGTCTTAGCATTGCTTCCTCAGGAAGCTTCTCCAACAGTCCCGTAAAGACATCAACCCAGGTCATAACCAAAACGGTAATTGCTCTGATGTTCCCAGTTTCCACCACTGTAATATTTCTCCCAAATCATTCTTGCTAAGAAAATATAGAAACAAACAAACAAAAAAGTCACCTTATATCCAGCCTTTCTAACTGTTTTCAACATGAAGAGATGCTAAGAGAGGCTGAGATGTGAGCCTTTAGAGTTAATACTTTGATTCTCCATTATGGTTTCTGTGGGGGAAGTCAAGGTTTTGGAAACTGTCAGCTTCCTCACACATTTCTTTGTAGTAATTCTGTCGTGGGGAAAATTTAAATTTTGAGCTTTCCAGCAGTCAGTACTCTTGCACTATCTCCTAAAGGAAATATCATCAAATGTAGAAAGAACATAATTTGTCCTGCAAGTGATGTTTTTGCTATGAGCAAGTGTCTGATTTGTACCATTTCTTACACTTCACTAAGTCAACACTAAAACAGCAATGCCATGGGAAAGCAGAAAGCAGAACGTACTGTCCACAAATAACTATGTGAAAACAAAATTCTCCAGCTGTCTCGTTGCTAAGACTGATTCTTTGGTTGCTAAGAGAAACGTGGCTCCTTTCAACGTGATTCATATATGGTTAGATAAGGAAGTTTTGTGGGTAAGAGTCATCAAGGTATTTGCAAATGAATCTCCATAGTCAGGGATAAAAAGACAAGTGGGAAGGAGATTTTAATGGCCCTTGGTAGTGCACAGAAGAAATCCCTCAACTTGACAATCAGGCGAAAAACATGATTCTAATCTAGAGGTTATTGTGTTGTACATATTTCTGAGGTTTTGCTGACACTGAAAAACTTCTTATGTTACTAACTTATTAGGATCCACTTTAGTAATGAAAATGCAAAGAAACACCTGGGGGTGATATTATTGCAGCTTTTACTACCTGTGCTACATTTGGGGGTCAGTTGCTGTGAGGATTCAAACAAATAATAAGGAAAAACAGATTCAGGCAATTCACTCTTGAAGGCTAGCAACGTTTTAAACCAAATGATTTTATCTTGTTCCAGAAAGGCAAAGCAGGAAAGGAAAGTGAAAAAATGTTACCTTTGAAGCTGTAACTGTGTATATCACTAGATGGGGAGTTTGGCAATTTCATAGTAAAAAACCCCCACCCTTATATTTACGTCCCCTTAAGGAATGAAAAGAAGAAAATTCTCAGGGATCAGCTCCAGCCCATTCATACTGTCCCCACAGAAAGATGTGAGAAAGGAAACCTGCACTATTGGTTTGGCAAAAGACTCTCTCAGGGTCCCTGAGAAAGAGGCAAAACTTGCACAGCTGATTCCGTCACTCAGCGTTAGCTCCCTTGACAAGGATTACAGTGTTGGGATTGTGGGGTATAGGTATAGAAGGGTTATGGATGGGTTAGGCAACAGTAAGGTTATGGCTGGGAATACTTCATGCTTCATGGAGTCCCAGGCTGTAGGGAACCCACTAGCAAACCCCTCCCATGGAAGTAGCTTAAAGCAGCCTCAGATGACTATAAATCATATGCAGGATTGGTTTAGCCACACTTTCTAATGGTCTTTTGAAACAGCCTATGAAGGACAAGGTTTTGCAAAGTCAACTTTTAAGACTCCTCCCAAAGATTTTTGTGAAAAGAAATTACGTGGTCTGTGTGCATGAAATTGGGATACCCAGCCTGCCCACACAGTCACCACGTACACTGCTAAATTCTGGGATGCTCTGCAAATCAGTATAAAATCAAAATTTGGGAGGTACAGTTTCAAATGAAGATTAATGAATTGGAGGTGATAGATTATAAACTGACAGTCCCTGTAGCAAGCACCTATTTATTGTACAGTTGCTTTACCAGATGATCTGTGATACTTTTGAACCAAAACCACATCTAAACTACTTGACCTTAAAGTAATTTCATTCTTTCTAGATAAGATAACACACTGAATGTGAATGTAAATAAGAGTAGCAGACAGCAGAGGTTTAAACTCCAAGCTCCTCCAGAGCCTTTGTGTAGCTTTAATTCAGGTTGATGCCGATCTTCCTTGGCATAGGGTCACACCATAAGCATTTCAGCATATCATTTCATAAGCAAACACTTGTTCTTGCACTGAGTATTCAGCATTCTGGATTGAGCCAAGAGAAGCCATTGTTTGCTTTAATTTAACTTTCCATCTTTCTGTAACAACTACTGCCATGGCATTCTGTCTACCTTTCTCGTGCTGGTAGATACACTTTTTTCTTTCCCAGGCAGGCTACCATTACTATTTTTTGCACTCTCTTTCAAATACTTAATAGCCATTTTTTAACTCATCATCTTCATTTCCATTTTTAGTTTCCTGCAAATCCCTCTTTTTCAGGGCTTCCTTCCTAACTTATTTCAGTTCTCTTGATCACTTTATCATCATACTGCTAGTCAGTACTATAAGCATTCAGATTTTACTTCTTTGTGTCTGTGTCTTTCACTTATCTTGATACATTCAACCAATACGTTCAACTAGACAGGACTGTTTTCATTGTCCCTTGAGTTTATTCCTTCCATTTAATGTTTATTGACTTTCTTTGCCTCAGTTATCCCTCATTCATTGCATTTGCACTTCACATCTTTTTTTTTTTTTTGGTGCTAGCCTTTACAATTGCATTGCAGTCCTGAGTGCAAAATGTACAACAAAGCCACTTTATGTCTTTCTGTTTCAGTAAGGTGGCAAGATAATGTACAGAGTGTTGTTTACGATAGCTTTTATTTTGTGGAGTCACTAAGCAGTATTTATTCTGTGCTCGGAAATCCCCATGTAGCTAGTGGGTGCTAATTTTGTATGAACGATTGGGCTGTTTTCATTTTTTTAAAGTATGTTTTATTTTACCGGACCAGGTCTCTGCACCAAGAGCTTTCTTATCTACTGTTTTTGTCAAACTGTCCTATCTGAAATGCTATCATGCTACTAAAAGGAGCTTCCCAGATATAAATACAGAAACAAAGATGAATTGTTTGACCTTGTCAAAAGTCTCAATGTGGTGAAGAGAAAGAGGGTGGAGAGGAAAGGGCATCAACAACAACAACAAGAGACTACCTAACATTGAGACTGAAATTTCCAGGTGGAAATTCGTCATGGTTTTCCCAAGGGAACCAAAGGGTGAAAGGTCTAGGGAGGTAGAAGGGAAAAGGGAGGAGACAAAAATCAGTGGAAAATTGTTTAAGAGTTGTAAATTAGAGCAGATCCTTGCATCTTACTGAGCCAGCGATAGGAGGGGAAGGTAAGCTGGTGTTTCTAGCAGTCTTATACTGAAAAATGCGGTGGCACCCTCAGGATCTTGACACTTGATTAAAATATTGCCCTTTCAGAGGTGATTTTTCTATTGCAGAGAGAGTTCTAGATACTCTGAGTACAGTGAAGTAGTAACAACAAATATTTTCAAAATGCAAATAGTTGCATTTGCAGCTGCACAGTTAACATTACTATTGATCTGTTTTTCTGAGACCTTGTAATCTTCCCTTGGGATGCTTTTTATCTGAGCACTCATCTCTTCCTTCTCATAACCCTCTGGCCACTCTCATCCTCCCTTCTCTGACTCTTTTTTTCAAATAGGCCCAAAGAGGAGCTGCCATTTATTCTGTTCTCTCAGTATGGCTGTAGGACATGTAAACAAATTAAATTTTGTAGGAGACAAAGCAGTCATTTATAGTACATAACAGTGGTGTTTTGTTTTGGTTTTCAATTACATAAATCAATTAAATCACATTACAAATCCTTTTCCTTACAATTGTCAGTTTTCAATTCAAAGCCATTTAAATGTTTGTTTGAAGCATGTGCCTCATGCATGGCCACAAAGTGACGTACAGTGTAGTATAACATAGTAAAGTTATATGTAAACACAGATTCTGTATAATCTGAATGTTTTGTTAACACCTCAGATGTCTCTCTGCGATGTTCACATAACTATTTGAAATGCTTAGTAACAGCATTTCCACTTAGGAAGGGGCACACAAGGAAAAGAAAAGCAGAGCCAGACACAATCGGAAGGAAAAATGCTGCCTAGCTTCACGGTGTGCTATCAACACATCCGGTACACAGAGGCCGTGAAATCCCAGGCTGGGAGCTCACTGTGAGTAGCCAAATGATCCTGACAAAATTTCTACACCTCGCAGCTCTCTTGCTAGAACTGCAATAGTTTAGCACCATTTTAGAGGTAACAAAGTGTTTATTGCACTAGTGAGTGCTAGCATATATTATATAAATTTAAAAACGCAATGCTTGTCACTTAGAAAGGAAGCGTTATACCAGATGACCACAGAAGATCCTTCCCTGGCACACATTCCTTAATAACGCCTTGCTCTCTACTGTTTAAATTGAAAAAAATAATTTTATTCTTTAGACTCCCTGAGAAGATTTCTGAGTCACCAGTCACAAGAGCACACTTTGAGAACCCTCTACTAGCTAATTTAACAATAAGATTCAGCATTTTGAGTCTCAGTGCTTCCAGCATTAAGGCTGTGTCAGGAAGCAGATTAAATATAATACTACTATAAAACTGGGCTGAAATTTTTTTCCCATAAGTTTGCAGCAGAAGGTAGACCACATTAAGTGAAATAGAACTCACCTGCCTATACCTGCCTATGAGAATGTTTCCAATACTAAAGATTTTGGGATGTTATCTGAATGAAAGACATAATAGAAATTAAGGTTATAAAAATATTAAAAAGTCAGCATTGCACTGGAGAAGCACATAATGTGGCTGCCTCTGGGGATCCTTTAAAGATCCAGAATGTTTCCAGCATTCTCAAGGAACAG